TTTAAATCTTGAGAGAGAAGCTTGTCAAGAAAGAGAGAAAAGATTACATGAAGAAATCCAAGAAATGCAACAAAGAATATCAGATCTGGATGCACAAAATGCTATTTTGCATACTCAAATTCAAGAATTAAGTGACAAGACTGCAATCATGCATAGCCAACAATCAAAGATAGCTGAACAGGGAAGTCCTGATACTAGTTTGGAAGCAATGAATCGTAGCTTTAGTGGACTTGAAGATGATTCCAAATCTGCTGAACAGTTATTAAAAGTAATGAAATATCTAAGACGTGAAAAAGATTTAGCTGTAGCAAAATTTGATGTTCTAAGAGCAGAAAATCTTAGATTGAAATCACAAGTGGAAGTTAGTATCCAAGTTTCCTTACTAAAATTTTAATTTGTATAACTTTTTAATGCAATGTAACTGTTAATACTTTTTCATTAATTTAGGTTATGGAAAAAAGATTAAAGGAAACAGAAGCTGCCCTTAATTCGGAAAGAGAAAAGTCTGAAATTAATGTAGTAACAACATCTAAACACGCAGAGCTATTGCGGAAAGTTGAAACTTTAAATGCCATCACAGATTCCAATAGAATCCTAAGAGAGGAAAGAGATAGTTTAAGTGCAAAAGTTTCAGAGCTTACCGCAAAAGTTGCAGCACTTTCTGAAGAAGTAGTACCACTTCGAGCTACGTCACGAGATTTACAAGCGAAGACTGAAGCCTTATTACAAGAAAATACAAGTCTTAAAGGAGAAGCAACTAGATGGAGACAAAGAGCTAATACATTAGTAGAAAGGGCGAACAAAACAAGTCCGGAAGATTGGCGTAGGTTGCAAACTGAAAGGGAAAATCTTAGTAAACTGCTCACATCTGAACGTGAAACACATGCTAAACGTGCGGAAGAATTAAATCAATTGAAAACAGAAAAGGGTGTATTAGAAGAACAGCTATCACTACTCCAGAAACAAGTACAAACTCAGGGAGAAGAAATTCAAAAAGCATCTGAAGAGGCACGTAAATTGGGTCAAGACTTAAACGAAGCTCTTGCTGATTCTTCTTTGAAAGCTAAGGATTTAGTAACATTAAGAAAAGAGCTTGGTGATAAAGAAGTAGTCTTGAATGACATAAAGAATAAAGAGATTCAAATAAGGAAAATAGCGAAAAAATACAAGACTCAGTTTGAAGAACTGGCGAAAACAGTAGAAGAAGAAAAGAGTAAATCTGAAGAGTCTCGAATGTCGGCTGGTACTTCTGGAAATGAAGATGTTGGTCGTATATCTCAAGAACGTGAAGATCAATTACGAGAAGAAGGCAGGCAAGAATTGCGTCAAGCAAATCTAGAATTAACATCAAAGGTTGATGAATTATCTCGTCAAATGATAGTTGTACAAAATGAAGCAGAATCGTTAAAGAAAGAGATCGATACGATGAACAGGACACGCGTTGAGAAAGAAGAACGTGTTAGACGAGCATTAACGACGGCAAGAACTGAGCTCATGCGGCTAAGAGAATCAAAGAAAATTTGCGAAAAGGAATTAATTGACTTAAAAGCTAAAGTCGAAGCTGGTGCTACCGAATCAGATACTGCTGAACATGATGCTAGACTTGCAGCACTTAAATCTCAAATGGAAAGTAGAATCTCTCGTTTGGAACATGAAAAGTCAGAAATCCAGGCAGAAAAAGAAACTCTTGTACAAAGAGTAACTCAACTACAGCGACAAGTAGCTGGTGTTAGTGGAATTAGTGCCACTACAGAACCACCAACGGCTAATATTAAACCTATGTCTGCTCGCGCTGAAACTCCATTAGCGAGTATTCGACCTATGAGTGTAGTAGTACAGTCTAGAACAGCTGCCGTTTTACCCACAACTGCAAGTGCACCAGTAATGGTTGCACCTCATCAACAGCAACAGCCACAGCAACAGGTGGTGCATACTACTGAAACGAGTTCGCCAACTAGTAGCCTTCCAGATTTTCAACCAGCTAGTACTAGTAGTAGTTCATCGCAGACAGCGCCAAATACTTTACGACAACTCGTTGTTCAACCACAATTAAGTGAATCAGCAGAATCAACGCAAAGGGAAGACCCAGAAAGTGCAGAAACACTTAGTGTACAACAACAGCAATGTCAACAACAACAACAGCAACAACAGCAGCAGACTGTTGCACTAGTTAGTCCAAGAGTGGAACAACAACAACAACAGCAACAAGCTGCTGTCAGTGATCAACAGCAGACTGTAGCTAGCAGTTCTACTCAGTCAGTAAGCACATCGCAAGCTTCGACAGGCCATAAACGTCCTAGAGCTCTTGATTCGACAGCATCAGGGTCTGGAATTGTTGAAGGTGTAGATCATAGTAGGCAGGAGCAAGTGCTTAGTCCCAAATCTAAACGGTCTAGACAAGAAATGTCATCTACTGCTAGTGCAAGCGCTTCAGAGGTCGAGTACCAGGTGAATTTAAATAATAAAAGTGTAGGAAATATTAAACAATAATTAAATATTTAGAATGATGTACTTATTTAATTTTTAGGTACCAACATCAAGCCAACGAGATCAAGATGAGGAAGTAGAAGAAGGATGTGTCGTTGTAGTAGATTGCGACGAAGGTGAAGGAGGTGGTAATCATCAGACTCAGGAAGAAGAAGAATTTGATAATGACCCATATGAAGAAATGGAAGAAGAAGAAGAGATACCTTATGAAGTGGAAGTAGAAGTGGAAAGAGATAATAATGAAGTTGAAATTATAATGGGAGAAGATTCTACAAGTGTAGAAGTTCCTAGACAAGCACAAGTAACAGTACCTACGAATCAACAGCAACAACAGTCGGAAGCAATTAGTAGTGCTGAACCAACAGGAGAACCACCTACATCGTTCGGAACTCGATCTTCACGTGGAATTGCGCCAATGCCTAGACAACAACAACAACAACATCTTCTCTTGGTATATATTCATTTTTATATACAAAGATAGGGGAATAGAAAGACGGAAATAAAGCATCTCTTTTAATGAAATGAATTTTAGCCGCAGCAAGGATATGAAGATGGTGGCGATGATAGCATAGTGCCAAGTACTCCAACTTTATTCGTACCACGTCGAGGAGACGGATTTGGAGAAGCTGTAAGTTCACCTCAAGTTCCCCAAGGACGTTTTACGTTTGGAGATTCGTCTGCACCAACAACAGCATCATCGACTCCTTCGTTATCAACTCCTTCTGGATCAGCAACTCGAACGATATTTGGGTCATCTAGTTCTGGTGTAGCACAAGTAATTCAAGAAAGTATGGATGATACGCGAATGGATCTTGCTCAATTAGAAGATGGTGGTACTGGTCGTAGTGTACCTACTACTCCTTTACAAGTTTCACCAGCCGCTGATTTACCACCTTCGGTATAAGAATAATTAAATATTTTTATATAACATTGTAGCATTTCATTTTGTCATGTAATTAAACGACGTACTTCTAGACAAGTAGTGGACCTTCAGAAGAACAGGAAACTCCAGTTTCAGTAACACCGGTATCAGTAACGGGTACTACTGATGTTACTGAGGAGCCTACAATACCAAGTATTCGTGTACTTGGTGTTGACGATCAACAACATAATCAAACTGAAATGATTACAGAATCTATTAGCACGACGCCAACTGAAGGTAATTATAAGCTATGTTAATATCAATCAAAATTCTAAATAATTGCATATTACTAAATAAATAAATTATAAATAATTACATGTAGGTATGAGCTCAGAAGGTGAAAAACGTACAGATGAAACTGGTCCTTTAATCTCTGGGGATGATGATGCAGTAGATACAGGCGAAGGAACTGAAGAACCAGGAAGTGATATAGTGGAAGATGAAGTAGAAGAAAGTCGTGAAGCGGAAGCGTCTCCATCCAGTAATACTCGGCAAAGGGCAATGGCAGCAGCTAATGCTGCAGCTGCAGCAAATGGTGCTAGAGGAGCTACGGCACGACGATCGGCAAGATCGCAAGATCGATTTAGAACGCGTGGTAGTCGACCTACACCTATTGTATGGGAAAGTCAACAACCTGGCGGTAGAGGTAAATGCAATCGTAAATGATAAATTTTGAAATAAGAATATATTTTCCTAATGTAAACATTTGCTGTGTTTCAAAGGACAAAGCGTAATGCGAGGACACGCAACAAGGGGAGCAAATAGTGAAACAGGAAGAGGACGTGGAACAAGAGGCCGGCGAATGCGATCTAAATATTCATATGCGCGATTCTAAAATTAAATAATTTTGTATACGAACTCATGCGGAAACTTTGACGTTGTTGTCTTTGCAAACGAACGGTGTAAGAAATGTTGACTATTAATATATCGACCTTCAAGACAAGGATACTTTTACTTAGCATTAAACAATATGTTTGTTGTACAGATACATTTGTCGATGTAACATTTGTTATACCTAAACTTAAATGAAACTATGATATAAGTCTTATAATGGCAGTATATATCTACCTTTTCAAATGGGAACTATATGAAATTAAAAACGTAATGTCGATTTCTAATTCTTCGGAATCTAAGGTAACATTCCTTTATTGAGGCTAAGAAATTAAATTAAAACTAAACAGCATTTAGGGTGTTTTGTTTATGTATTCTTGGAACTGACTTTTATATAATTATTATTCAAATTTCATATAATATTGATGTGGTTCATAGTACAAATGTATTTATGCAAAATATTTTGTACAAGACGTATATCATGAATTCATGTGTTGAGTTTCATAAATTACACAATGTTCGTCATAAATATTTTATTAAAAATGTTCGACAAGACATGTAACAAGTATTTTATTTTATATAAGTGCATTGCTTTTTTTGTATTTTACAAATTTAAGTATGAATTCTACTATCTTTTTCAACAGTCCTATAAGTAAGCATTAGAGACATATATTTACATATTATGTTTCAACTTCCAACTATCAATAAATAATATAAAATATCTACCTAAGTTTTATTTGTATACTTATGGTATCTGCTTAAATAGAATTTGACATTTATTATGAAATTTACTATTAGAATAAATAAAAGGTATTTATTACGTTCCACACACAGAAGATGCGTAATAATACAATATATTTTATACATCAGTCTCTTGTGTAGTTTAGTCGTATTTTAAAATAGCATTATTAATTAATACTTTTTCAGTATTCAAATATCTTGTATTGTTTGCAAAAACTTACACATAACGAGTGAATTAAAAAAATATGGCAAATATGTATAAATACTGGAGATATAATTGATTAATAAATATCAGTTTTACATGTTTTACAATACAATTAAAACGAAATCTATCAGTACTATGATTTCGATGTTACTACTATATAAATATGATAATATCACAATAATGAATATTAAACCCCTCTTCTAAAAGAGTCAGAGTGATTTCTAAAATAATAATACACTTTGGTCCCCTTTATTTCTTTTTAATATTGTTAAAAATAATTGTAAGATAGAGCACGAAATATGACTAGTTACATAAATAATTAATTTTTGTCTATTATTTTCGTATAGTGAGTTACATATAGTCAGTTATGTATGATATTATCTGAATATTTTCAATGAAGTCAATTTAATTTTACTTCTTTCTTTGTTTTTCGTTTGTGGTTTGAAAAAACAACGAAAAACTTTAATGTCTTATGCTTTGAAAATTGACTTAAATGAAAATTAACTTCATCATTTACTTTTTAATTGTTATAGAACGCCTACTTTTCTTAATTAAATCCATAATATTTCTGATAATGGGAAAGTAGAAGTTTGCTATAAATATGAATAAATCGTCAAATTTTTTCACTTCCTGAGAAGTTGTATAAATTCGTTGTGTAGCAGAACTAATAATATACATACATACATATATATTTTTTTTAAAACAGGTGTCCATCAACTATTCTATGATAATTTGATGTTGGAGAGACAATCATCACGTTGTTGGGCTGTATGCCAAGTTTCTGTGCACATAGCATCAGACACGCTTACACTAAACGTTTCCGAACTAAACCGGTAAATTAAAGTAAACTAATTCAAACAAAATAAAAACTTTAACATTCTTAATTACATATTTTGATTCATTAACAATCTTTCCTATAAATCAATACTGTGTGTTATATTTACAATTTGTTATGCAAAAGTCACTTATTTTGAAACGTCTCCCTTTAGTCTATCTGATCAACTAATTTGAAATTAAAGTTACGTTAGGCTGCTGATGCTCTAGTCGATACCGATCACTGATTCTGGTCATTTCACAGGAACATTGACCATGCTGTTCCACGCTGATCCATTGTCGTCTGTTATTAGTCCTGTTATTAGTTTCGTAACTCATTACCTCAATTTCAATTTCTTCATAATAGATCGCTGATTGTACAGGTAGACAACTCATATCTGAATTCATGCAGCATCCGGAGTGTCCGTCACATCGCTTTACGACAATATAAACAGGCTGAATGGTACTCTCCCCAGGATTCTGATGTACGTTTTGCATCAAGTCTCTCAGATGGTACGCTCGAAATTGTGGTTTTTTACAAACAAACATGCTGGACGTTTTCACTGCTTCAGATAAAGTAATCTTATTGCTATTTACCGCCGTTGATCGCACCATGTTGTCCAAAGCCAATAGGATGAGTATCATTAACTCCAATAGGAAAGTCCTCAATGACCTATTTCTCATGCCTTGTATCTGTTAATTTATACTATAATTCTTATTGAATAATGTATGTTGTATCACTATGATTATCTTTACACACACAGTTTGGGCAAATTGAAAGATTCAATTTGAATCTCACTGAAGATCACGTTCATAAATTCAAATTTTACGGCGCGATACTTGGTGAACGCGTTTGAGATGTGTCTTCTCTAGCCAAATTACACGAACCACTGATATGTAGTCGTATCAAGAGGCATCCAACTGAGACTTTCCTGCTGCCAGAAGTGTATTTATACATGGAAGAGCTTGCACACACTTCACGCAAGGTATACACGCATCGTTACATTCATGCACACGTAAAATCTGATATCCTACAATTCTGCGGTAACATTTACTCATGCATTCCTTAAACCACTCAAAATATCCCGATGCATGGGAATTGTCACACTTTCTATCGTATGCGTCATGGATTCCATCCTGGAATATGCCTTAAAGCTTAATACAGTGATGTTAAATTTTTAAAATACTATAATACACAATAATGTAATATACAATAAGGAAATCATCATTTTATAACTATTTTTCAATTTAACATATTCTTCAGACTTAAATTCACACAATAAACTCTTATAATTTGCTACTCTCTTCGACATATTTGTCAATGCGATCGACTAACTTTCCGATAAGAGGATGTACGCGCTTATATCAAAGTCGAACTTCGACTTTTCTTTTATTGGTATGTTACTTGAGCAAGCTATCACTCATATACATATGAAACTTTTAATACACATTCAACAAATTCATTTCGGACAAGCTATTCATAACTCAATGGACAATCAATGATGTAAGTAAGATTGTAATAATTGCGGGAGTCACTTTTTTTTTATTGAAGTTTACGAAGATGTGGTAAGCTTTTACTTGTAAGTAAAATTGACTCATATTAATATGATTCATTGAAAGTCGAGTACAATAAATAATTGAGAAATATGCGGTTGTGTTACATCTTCCTATCTTCTACCTCCTACTATTTTCCTCATTGTTTCATAAAAAAATCTCCAGTCGATATATTAAAGGCAGGTTGTAAACTATGGTTCTGAGATTTCAAGGAACATTAATTTCTCTTATAATTTGAGACTTTTCCACAAACAAAACTGCTAGAATGATGTTTCGCGGTCGAATATTTGTTGCAAACGAAGAATTGAAGTGGTCATTTTCTCGCAACGACCCCTTTGAAATATAGTTTTAAATTGTTGGTGCAAGGTATGTCCAAGGTATGCGATGCACTCAACTGTATAAATACTTGCTTATTCTTAAGATATCTTTGAATTTACAAAATATATTTTTTATTTATCTATCTTGATCTTCATTTTTTATTAAAAAAAAAATAATAATACACAGAAAATTGAGATAAATTTTATATCTTGATTCTAATAAAACAGGTGAAGTATTCAAAATTACTTTCGATAAGAATGTATTAGCTATTTCCTCTTTCATAAAATGTATTCCGCATTATCCAATTCATTAGATATATTTTTTGTGTAAATTTCGTTTATGTACATTTCGTCTGTTAAAATATAATTATGCTGATTGTAACGAACAGAACAAATTAAATAAAACAAGTTTTCTCCTGTTTTTCCGCATGAGATCTATTCGTGTATATAAATATGTAACTGTTATTTAGATATTTATTTATTCTCGCGAAATTACGCGATTATTTTACCATTCGTTATATTATATAAAGATATACATCAATATGATAATTAAATTCAATCGACTATACATACTGTTCGATTTACACACGTGAAGAGTAATACATTGACTTTGCAATTATTCTCAATGAACTCTTATCTCTGGACTATGTTTGATAAAAGACCAGTGATACTAAGAATAGAAATGCAATAGAGATACAAAGAATAGGAAAGAGACAAAAAGTTTGCTTGATTGAATAAAATTTTTATGAAATCAGAAACTATTTAATCTTCAAATATAAGCACTATACCGAGTACATTTACTTTCTGATCGCGGATATAATTACATGAATCATCGGTCAACCATCATTTCAAATTTCCAAATGGTTACTTGTAAGAGAGTAGAAATTCGTTTGTATCTTATTTTGACAATTCGCCATACAATTAATTTTCTCCCAGTTTTCTGTTTTATATTTTGTAAAAGCCTCTTATATGCTTCGTACATATATACTTGTCCTCATCTTATTCTTCATAATAATTGCTTTTTATTCATATTTTTATTGATTAATCTATTTACTGGTACAGAAAGAACATCTTTCTTAAGAGGTATTAATGTATTTACTACGACATTATAATTTCAGTTATAAGAGATATAATTAATAGCAAAATTGTGGGTGTGACGATTAGTAATTTCACGGATTCATTTGACGTAACGGGATAGCCCTCATAGTGCAAATAAAAATAAAATATATAATGAACGTGTTAGTGCTAGAAGTCACGTAATTCTTAAATGAGATTAAAATAATCAACTAGAAAATTTTGATTATGTAAGGAGAAAATAAGAATAAAGGAACTAAAACAACATTTTTTTAAAAAAGCACAATAAAATTTCTAATAATGCTATTTCTTAAATAGATGATCTTAGATAGATGATTTAGTAGATAGATGTCTTCAATGATCAAGGCTATCAACCGATACACCTACACACAAAATTCCATTAACGGTTCATAGATTCGTAACTTCGCATACCATTGAGTCAGTTCCATGAATAGCTGTTAACGGATATTCGTAACATGAGTTTCGATTTGTGCAACCGATAGTCACTCTCACCTTCCATATAAAAAATTTTCGGAAACAGATATATTATTCATTTGATAAATGGCAACATAAAAAATTATCTTTTACTATTTATACATCGTGTAAAAATGAAAAGAACATCATGAGTAAATTTTGCAATCAGACACTTCGCAGACGATTGCAATGACTCACTGCAACCTGTCGCATCATATAACACTGGAGACCAGAGAGGGTCGAGATACTTCATGCCATGCCGCTATATTAAGCAGTTTCTTTAACTTAATTATACAGATCTGCTGACATCTAATCGTTCCTCTGAATAAAAATTAAAAATATAAATATTTATGTGAATTATTACTTTCGTAATAACGATTGAATATTAGATTTAAATTGTCTTTTTTTAATTTCTTAAATAGTTCATAAGTTTTTTAATAGAGTAAGTCAGTGAAAATAAAGTCACTGAGACTTCCATAAGAATTATTTGAGAGCAAGAAGGATCGAACAAAATGCATCGATGCACGAAAAACAGTGCTTGGGATGCAACCGGTACCTACACGAAGAAGAAAATCAGAGGGTAGATGATAATTTGACTGATGACTGGTAGAAATTTGTCAGATTCAAAGTATGGAAAGGAAAGGGAAATACGATGAAAGGAGAAAATGAGAGAAAGAGGAGGCAATTGATGAAGAAAGGATGATTAGTCACGCGACGTAACATGGTCCCAGTTCGAGCGGGAGGCAGGACCCACTAGTTGTAATTATAGTTATCTTTGCGATGTTCTCGGAACGCTTTGCTTCAAGTCCTCCTCGAGCTTACCGAGAAATGAGAGAGAGAGAGAGAAAGAGAGACGGTGCGAATTGCCGTAGGACGAGACAAAACAATACGGCCAAAGGTAGATCAACGAAGAAAGATGATGAGAAATCGGAAAAAGAGGGGAGGCAGAGGGCATCGGGCCGAGGATGAAAGTTACATATATATAGCAGGAGAAAGAATTCAGATCACAGAAGAGTAGTCGCAGTTCTCGACCCGGACAATTGCGAGTGAAATCAATCAGGACGTGTTGATTTTCAATTAAAGTAGAATTCTTTTTCACCAAAATCCCATTTAATACTAAGAAAGAACTGAAAATATGAGAAGCTATATTTTACTGTTCATTTCTATCCAGCTTGCCTTTGCTACAATTGGCAGACATCATAGGTAAATTATATTATATCTATATATAAACTCAAAGCTTATATTGGTCACATGGCTTTGACAGATCGATTAAAATAATGGACTTGATTTTCAGAGATAGCGGATTTCTGAATCACGTGCAACTAGTGCATGAATTTCGGTGTTCCATGCCACAACCGAGAGCTATACCAGTGGCAGAACTTCTAACTGTCGGCCCTAGCCCGGACGAAGTTTTTTATCCTGCATCTACCGTTTTGACACGTTGCAAAGGAGCAGGATGTTGCCCGGATCCCAAACAGATTTGTGCACCTATCGAAACCAGAAACGTCAGTCTTGTTTTCATGGTGAAACACACGATTGACCGACAACGTGACAGGCATCACGAAGTGATACATGCTTTGGAACATACAAAATGTGGGTGTGTCCATAAAGGAATGATAAAATTTGATTGATTCATTCTATTGAAATTTTTTCTTAAAACAGCAATGAAAAATACTTATGCGTTGTTATAAGAATATTATAAGTAGTTACTTAGTTACTCGTTAAAAAATCGAAATATACCAAAATATTTATAATCGCGCGATTAAATAACATTACATAATTAATTTTAATATAGGATAAGTTCCTCGATTTAATCACTCTTCTGTTGACTGTGATATTTTTATAACATAATATAAAGCACTATATGTTTTTTTTATAACACATTAATAAATGTTTTTGAATAATATATTTTTTTCATATTTAATTCCTTCTTAAACACCTTTTGCTTTATGATGCTTCGTTCCAAAAATAATAAAAACGAATAACGTTCTACCAGTTTTTTCAATTAGTCAAATAATCTAGTTCACCTACTTACTTATTAGTCTTTTACGTCGAAGTATTGTTTCGCGGCCAACACGTCACGTTTTATACTTTCATTGTTTGGTGTCAACTCTAGAGCAGCTTCTAGTTCAGGAATACCATGCTGAGGCGCAGACAATTTACAGAGGGCTGCGCCTCGTCGAGCGTGACACCTGGCCCTTGACTCTCGATTGCTTTCGCATTTCGGTTCCATTAGTTCTAGTGCCTGAAAGATAAAATGAATGTTTCAATTTATTTTTACAAGTTGAACAAATTACAATTTCAACGACTTACTTTAGAACAGTCTTCTACACATCTACAATAATTCCCTAATGCATAATGTGCTGCTGATCTATTCACATAGAGAGATGCCATTTTATCACTAATCTTAATGCCACATGTGTAAGCACTTATGGCCGCCAGATAATTTCCAACTTTGAAGAAATCACTAAAAAATAACGATAAATAATTTGTTACAATATAATTAATATAAGGCTTTATCAAAGTATCAAACGTACTCTCCTTTATCTTTTAACCATTGCGGATCTCGTTCTTCCTGTCGAAGATCTTCCGCGTTAAAACCAATTTTGCGTCTTGCTTCTACTTGTTTTTGCAACCACTGTAATTCAGTCAATATTAATATGACTTTCTTCTATAGTAATTTTAATGGTCAGAAATATAAAAAAATAATACTTCTTGTTCTTCAATGTGAGAGCTTTCCCTAGCCGGTGTTGGGAACTTCCGTTCCGAAAATGTTACGTTAATTGTACCTGTTTTTCTTGGTAATGGTACTGATTTTGAAGGTTCTTCGAATATGTTATTTCTTTTCAAAATTTTACCTTGTATCGCAGCTTCTACAGCTTCTAATCCTGGTCTCCTTTTTTGCTGTTTCTCATAAACCTTACTTAAATCTTTTTTATTTGTCGCTTTTACTATATCCGAATCTGAATCAGAATCTTGAGAACAACTGGTGTTGTTTTTGTTAATAAGAGAATCATCTCTCTTGTCTGATACCTCTATTTGAAGATTACTCTCTTGATTTATATTTACCGATTGTACTTCTATAACCTTCTGATTGTTGACAGCTTTAGATTTAAATTCTTTTATGGTGTTACTACCTTTAAATATTTCTTGCTCGGTCATCGGGCGAGATTTTAACACATCATTGTCTTTAAACCATTTTAGTGGCGGTCTTATAAAAATGATGTAAAAAGAGATTGTTAATTATATAAAATGAAGAAAAAATTTATGATATAAGAAAAAATATTTAAATTCTGGTACATACTTGTAAGCTTTTCTATTTTCTTGTATTTCTCCTTCAACATTAGAAAGAAATGGTAATTCAGCTTTCGATCTCCAGTCTTCAAATTCCTGCATAGCTTCTCTCCGGTGTGCGTCCCGTATCGCATCTATTTTATTCAGTGTAGCTGTATTGACACTGATTTGTTCTTTCACTGCTTCCTTTTGTAAATATTGACGCTTTTCTGAAGGAAGTTATGAATCGTTGGAAAATATATAAGTTATAAATTGTAACATTATTTACAATTCTCTACATACCACTCTTAAGTTTCATATTTTCTTCGGCCAGTTTTTGAGCATGTTCTAAAGCTTGAGTACGGCAATCTCGTTTAAAATCATTGTTAATATCTTGCACCTCGAGAGTAGGCCACTCCAAATTAGTGTTTGTTTTATGCAAAGCAACTATTGCTTCTTCTTCCGTCAAAGTACATTTACTTTCATTCTCAACAACATTAGCCCAAAGAAATAATTCTAATATGAATGGTGGAAAGCTGATCTGTTATTGAATTAAATATCGTATGTTATTTATATACATTTAAAGATTTAACTTTAGGAATTAAACTCTATACCTTTACGTAATTATCTATTACGAATAAGTCAACTTTTTTTGGATGGCCTTTCAAAGGTACGTTCAATATAACAAATTCTGAAGTTTGACGCCAAGAATAGTCTTTAATAACTATAGCTGGCATTTTCTTCTTCAACGCAATGTCCCATTACATGTAATTCTCGCTATCGAAGCGATGTAGATTATCGATCAAACATTTTGCGATATACAGCGCTTTATTTGTATACGAATAGTGGGTGGTGAATACGAATGAATATACCAACATGCAGGATTCTGTTTCTATATTTATGATTCATTTTCGTACATAAAAAATTTTATTCTAACAATAAGTACATATGTAATATATGTTACAAGTATCGAATATATTTTCAATACTTCATTTATCAGGTAAAAGGAACAAACTACGAAGGTATAGTACGAATTATTTTTAATTAAAACGTTTAAGAGTATTTGTTGACAATACTTTTCATAGACATTATTAAAAAGCTGCCATGTATGCAACTGACACTCTGTGTCTTTATCCATGGAACTATAATTTTCTCTCTCATGAGCAATACTTGAAAATCATCGAAAATGTATGAAAACATTCAGATATTATGTAGCTCTATAGAGGAGTACAAGTTTTGGTTCTACAATTACTTTTGGACAAATGACATTTCATTACGTCATACCTAAGCCATTGCTCGAAAATCAACTATAAAAACTTATTGTAAATCAGTCGGTTTTTATCAAACATCTGCTCCTACCAAATCACAATAGTTATTTAAAAACGAATTGCAGGACGTTCCAATTCATGAAAATTTTTAATTCATTAAACGCACTTATATCTCAAAACATATTAATGGTTACCCTGAGACGCAAGAATGTTATATGTGTTGATATTTTTAATGAGTTCCCACATTTCGTTGTACATAACGACAAAAGTAACAATAATTGCTTTTGAAATATTGTAATACATAATATTATTAGAAAATGGAGGACCTTTGATAAACGCTTAAGTTAGGAAATTAAAGACTATTTTTTATAAAGATATTATGACACTACGGTTATGCCTCTTACACGCCTTATATCATAATCACTTTTGTAGATTACAGTATTAGTGATCGTTCACTGCATAATATGTACAGTATATGTATCAATGCTAAATACTTTGTTCGTTTAATTGTTTTATGTAAAAGAAATTATTCTTTTTCAAAAGAAAAACATTGTACATTAAGAATGGTATAAAGGTGGAACAAAGTACTTAACACTGTACAAAACTTAATGCTATTATAAATAGGTATACGTACAATAAAGTACGTTTGTCTATATTGTACCCAAGCGAGTCCCGTAATCATTTGAACAAACATTTAGAATGAACTTTTGTTAGGATACTAGTTTAGTATTAACATGTATTACTTAATACCTAATGTATCCGTACAACATTCACGCATATATAGGGACGTCGCCCAAAGTATAAGAGCTCTTGTGGTTTCTTTTTACTTATATATGTTGATAAAGGTAAAATTATAAAGTATCGCATATGTGGAATGTCTGAAGTATATAAAACGCTAAAGAAATTCATCACATAATTTCAGAATTAATAAGATGGACGTTGTGCGGATTTCTAGTGCATAATTCACAGATTAAATACAATAATACAAACGTTGTTACGATTAAAAGGAAGAAAAGTTTTAATACAAATATCAATATGCTAGCATGATAGAAAGTCATTAACGCTTCATTCGATTTGCTAATTTGAGAGAATTTGCTAATTATGTGAAATATAAACTGAGCAAATTTAGACGGAATAAATATAGATAAATGAAATTATTTTATGATTTGATCAATCTACAGTGGAATTTAACACAGTAACACATACTGTATTGGCAATTACAAATTCGTTGATATTTCATGATGTACATATAGTAAAGGACAGTCACTTCTCTTCTAACAATAGTTACACTCTAGGACTCTATTTTACTAATATTTATATTATTCATTATGAAAAGTTGTTACACAATTGATAGTAAAAATAAATACAGAAACGATATATTCTAGTAACATGAAACTTATGTTTCTCTACAAAACTATACTTACAATTATAAAAAAATGTTAGCTAATTAAATTTTTATTACAATTTATCTAAATGGCTTGAATTTTATACATACATATCGCATGCATACATCTGGCATAGTAGGCATGCTTTTACATTCATACACATTCTCTTCCTCGAAATATATTCATTGTTATTTTATAAATAATAGCTAGTACAAATACTATAAGAACAGCATGAATGTGAACCAACTTGAATATAAAGTTATAAATAAATGCAAAAATCTGAAGTTAAAAAATTTATAAATAATAAAATTTAAAAATTTCGGATATGAAGAAGTTCGATTGAGAACATTTAGAACTGTGTGTGTGTGACTGTTTATATGTACTAAAGAATTAATACAGACGGAAGAAGTGAAAATTACAATCACTGGAATATCGTACACAAAATTTGAATATGTCACCGACTTTTTGTGCAAAGTTATTGAATTTTATATGGGACATAAGTACATTAATGTACGCACAAACTATTTTTTCCGTGCAGCTTTTTCTGCTTTTCGTCGCATTCGTTCTATTTCTTTCCTCTCCTTGCGTTCCCGATCTGCTTGTGCTCTAAGTTCTTTCAATTTTCGTTTCAAATGGGATTTTTCATCTCCACAAATGCCAAAAGCTTTGAGGTCACGAGACTCAAGTCGTAGAAGGTTTCCACCATTAATTCCAGTTTCCAAAAAACGCGGCGCATAACGTTCCAAACCAATTCCTGATAACCACTGACAAACCTAATACCATTTTTCAAATTACAAATCTAATATTTTGCAATAAATCTATAGTCTTTAGTAAAAATATTTCTTTAAATAGATATATACTTACTTGTTCTTTGGACCAATCGGTAACTGGTGCATTCTGCCAGAAGTGAGACTTCTTGTCACCTAAACCAAAGTCGCTTGGATGAGGAGGCAACCAAACTTCACTCGTATCTAGATCCATAATATTTACACACGGGAGGGGTAAAATTATGAAAAACAAAGTGTATAAAAGAAAAGAAGAAGGGATCAAGAATCAATCATTCACTGCTTGCATTGTGTTACGAATACCAAAAATACCTGTTTTAGACGGACTAGGGTCAACAGCAGGTGGGCTCACTGATCCACCAGAAGACAGACTAGAAGGTGAACTACCTGGATGATGCCAAGGTGTGGAACCACTACCAATTAAATTTGATGAAGGAATAGTGGCCTTTTTTACTGTATAGATAAACAAGTTATTATACAAAAAAGGAGCTACTATCTTTGAGACACTCTTTTTTAGGTATCTGATAAGATACATTACCTCTTTGATTAGCCTCGCTTACAGCTTGTCTTATTTCTTCCACTAAATGATGAGTAACTAAAGCTGGATCGCTAGAATGTGGATTATTTAAGTCACTAAAATCCCCAGAACTTTCTCTTGATGAAGACATGTCGTTTCCACCAAGTCGTCTCTCTCTTTCTGCTAAAACTTGTTTTAACTGTTCTGCAAATGATGCTGGTGGTCCGGTTAGATCTATGTATAAAGAATCGATAAGAATTGTATACTTAAAGTCTTACAAAGATTGCATATAAAGAGAATAACAGAAAAACTACTTTTTTGAGATTGTGGCCAACTTTGTTCTGTCATAGCTCTGACTTGTGAACTAATAGTGCTATGTTGTCGAATTGCTGTCGGATGTGTAGGTTCCACGTGTTTACTTTTCAATGAACTAATTGAAGAACTACTGGAATAGGAACTCAAATTTGATTGCTTTGATGTTAAGTCATTTGGCGATCTGCTGCTTGTGTCCTGAGAAAGTAATTTAGAAGATGAATCTTCATCAGTATTGTCACCTGATTCGTCCAGACCATAATCCTGAAATACAAAATGATTAAATAAACATTTCGTTCCCGGATTTAGTAATTGTGACTATATACTTACAGAACTGCTGTTGCTAAGGCCACCAGAACGTTTAGGAAGTTGTCGATTTGCAAGTCCTCCTCTACTGGCAAGTTCAGCTTTACTTTTCCCAGCAGAATTATCAAGAAGTCGATGTGCAGGTACTGCTCGATCTAACTCTTCTTTGACTGGCAATGGGAGCGGTAGTTTTCTTTCGACCGTCGCTGTTTTATCACCATCATCCGGACTACTCAAATCTGATGTTTCAGTATCTGAAAGTTGACAACTAGTTGATGAGGGAGGAGGAGGTAATTGACGGCGCGATAACTGTGGCGTAACAATCCTAGCCGTAGTTCCATCATAAGGCAATCTCACTGGTAATCCAAACCTTCTTTGTGTTTCTGTTAATTCTACTTCCAATGTGATTACCTATAATTATTTATAATTAATTTTTTGCTACATATATATTGTTTTCATTTTTTTTACGATAATTGATAACATACCCTATCTTTCAAACTTTTAACAAGAGCGTTATATTCCGTATCCTTCTCTTGTAGTAGCTGTTGGTAAAATTCATCTCTAGCAGCAATATCTGTGCGTAATTCGCGAGCTGCTCTCCTGGCTCGGGCATATTTTTGTTGTAAAGCAGCATTTTGTGCTGTTGCCTGAGAAAGCATTTCTCGCGCCGCTATTAAATCCTGTCTAGCAGTACCCAAGGCTCTTTCAGATTCGTGAAGTCGTAAACCAGATTCACGCAATTTTGCTGCATATTCTTCACTGCCAGCTCCACTGTTTTCTAAGTCTACAAGCTATGAATAAAACATTTCAAGTAAATTTTTTTGCAAATATATATACAAAATACATGTATAGGTTAATATTCCTTTAGTAAACCGTTTTATAATCCTTTATGTTAATTATGACAGCAAATCAAAACATAGAAGCTATATGAAATGGTAAAAACTGAACAAACTCATAAAAAATACACACTAAGCTACACACAAATTGATAAGTATAAGCATGTAACATACAAGCAGAGTGCATCAACACACAAGAATGACATAAAATTATGTATTTTATGACATTACCTTAGCTTTGAGTTTTTCCACCTCTCCATCTGCTAATGCTAGTTTATACTGACTCTGCAAGCAGTGAACAATGAACACAGTGCATAAGCAACACCAAAATATATTCACGCTTATAAAACCTATGAGGAAGT